TTTAACCTGAAAGAAGAGGAATAAGAATCAATTCTCATAGAATATCGAATTAGAAAATTAAGACGTTTAATTCAATTCCTCGAAAAGAAATGACAGAAGCGCACAAAATAAAATTTTGATTAAAAATTAGAAATGCTCGAATGGAATGACACAAAAACAAATTTAAAGACGTACCTAGAGTCCGCAATAAAGCTAGTCATAAAGATTTCCATCTTAGGATTCAGTGTGTTTTGCAGAAAGGCAACAAAAACCAGACAAGGAAATTATCTTATCTGCAGAGTTACTAGACAGGGACAACTGCGCTCTGTCACTTTCTCTGCTTAAAGATATTCCCTACCCTCTTAAATATCCTCTTAACTACTAGGTGAGAGTAGTCCTATTTTATGTTGTCTCTCCCACTTATAAAATTTCAAAGAAAACAAAATCACTTTTATTGTCATGGGCGTAATTACTATAATAATGACTAATGTTTAGCTGTAACTCTAAATTTTGAGTTTTGTTTGGATAAATTTATGACATATTTAGGTCTATAGAATTAGATGTATTATATGTTTATAAACATTCCAAAAATTGTAGTCTTTTGCTGGCATGATATCTTTCTAAGTAAATAAATATTTATTTTTAAGTTACTTTAATTAGAATGCAAGTTTTGTCTTGGAAGCTTAACGTGTACAGTACCTACATTTACAATATGAAGTGGTAATCCAAATAATTGCTTTGTAAAAAAACATCATTTTTAGTCTTTATTTTAGATTTTAATAAGTTATAGGCCTATGCACTAAGTGGTGTTGGCTGTAAGCTGTATTAATTTTAAAAAAATTATTTTATGTTAGTATAATCATAAGATCTTTCAGCACTTACGTAAATCAAATTGTTTTTCATCTTCAAAATTGTATTTTTCAATCAGAAATGGCATAAATTTATTATCAACAAATGTTAGTTAGATATATATAAGATATAATTAAATCATTTAAATTTTCGTTTATTTGATTTAATAGCTTAGAATTGTGTTATAATAGTTTATTATATAAATAAATATTCAACATATTTCATTTTAAACTGTTTTAATATTGTCTACATACCCACAAATTATGTATATAAATACAACATTTAAAAACAAGATTCCTTACAGTGAGAGTTGCAAGAGATATTTCAAGCACAAAAGTTTTAAATAGTCATTTAACAAATAATTGTAATTAATTTGTTCTAATTATTTAACACTTAAGTAATTCTATTTAAGCATTGATCAAGTGTACTGTACAGTACNATCTGCGACCATTGATGTCTCCTCCACGCACTGCTAGGCCTTATATCTTGTGTTTATAATCGATTTTCCAAGCCTAGAATTTGGAAGAGAAATCGTCAAATTAACCACGTTATCTTCTCTTCTATCGGCTTTCGAATTAGATATATTAGGATCCTGTCAGAAATATGCTCTTTGTATGCTCCGTTGTAACGATAAGTTCTATAGAAAGTCAAATTTACTTTCTTATCTCGAAGCCTATTGGTCCTTTTCAAATTAGTATTCAGTTACATGCAAATATAATTAGGATCTGTAAGAAATAGATAAAATCACTAAAGTTCGTTTATTTTTTTTCTTTTCATTTAAATTAAATACAACCAACTAATAATAATTTATTTTAATTGTGTTTCTTTTTATATGTTCTTATTAATGTTGAAGGTAATTAAAATTTGAATTTAGAGCTACGAATTGAAAAAAAATTCGGTCAATTGAAGCTGGAAACAATGGAAATACTTTCTTAGTTCTTCTAAACTTTAGCTCTATCTTTGTTTAGAAATCCGATATAAGTTCCTGACAGCATTGATCAACGTTTTTACCGGTTTATCCTTGATTGAGGAGAAGTTGTTGAACGATAAGCAGTAGTTCCCAAGAGAAGTATACGGATGCCACATTACTAAAATCTTTGATTATTTTTCTACTTTCCCACCTCTTAGTTAAATGCAAAAGTCACTTAAGTGAAGATGGACAGCGCATAGATTAACGTGTGATCTGAAACAAAACTTTGATAAATGAAAGCAATTACGGAAATCATTAAGTAAAGTCTTTTAGTGACACGTTGAAATTTAATTTATAAAATCAATCGCCTACGTCAACTTGTCAATAGAAAGTTTATAAACTCTTCTACTGAGAATTTCATGAAATATTTTATTAAGAAAATCAAAAATTTAAATTATTTTCGTATAAATTACTACGTATAAAAAATGCATATAGATTTTTTCATAATTCGATTTATAATAACAATTTTAATTTTGAAAAACTTAATTAAAGTCTGTATTTTTATCTCATAAATAATGTTGAGATGATTCCTAATTTACTGTAATAGAAATATTTTTCAAAATTTTCAACAAATTAGAATTGTTCATCAATAAAGCCTTAATAAATCAATAATTATTATTCAAAACTTTTTAAATTATTACAGTTCTGATTTATGTGCAGATAAAATGTTTTCAAATGAATTTAAGTTATATTTTTGCGTCATCTGCTATTTTATTTTAATATCAAACCTGCGTTACAGGATTGCTTCTTATAAGGAAAAAATCGAAAGACTGTGCTTAAAATACACGCTGTATAATTGAAATCAAGCTACATATTAGATGTATCTTACTGTATATAAGTGAAGAAACCATTATAATAAGCACGTGACTAATCCTAGGCAACATGCAGCCCTAGATACTGTTCATCCTAATAAATTCCATTGTCTTTAGAGAATTCTACTTCATTTATCTCGCTTTTACAATTAAAAATTTGTATGAAAGTATCAACAAATACATAAAAATATTCACTTCAATAAACGTATTTACATATGAATTAATCATGTAATAAGCAAAATTAATTTCATGTATAAATATTTGATAGAAAAGACAACATTACATGTCTCCCAGTGGCAAATATTTGTATGGAGATGTTAAACAAATCATCAAAAACGATCGATAAAATTTTTAAATTCTTTTCCTATAATTTATCAAATGAAATATTTCGGAGAGGAATTGGCTTCGCGTAAAATACTAAATTTAAGGGTGTGGGAGAGAAAGTGTCCTAAAATAGATGAATTATTGTAAACGATGCCAAATACCCCATGGCGGTTAGTTCGTCAGTTTTCCCGCTAGGTGGCCTAGTACTAGCTTGATGAAGTGAGTGGCGCGCGTTACAAGACAAACAAACACAATTGCGCATGCCCAACCCATCACCGGTAACAATGGCAGCAATTAAGGTGCACCGCTTAATCCGTCATGGTGTGGATGGCGTTACTGGATGTCGCCACTCCTCCACGCCCACCTACCTAGCACGTCCAAGTTAACTAATGTCCCTTGTTGTCCCTTCCATCTCCACCCTGCTCTATCGTCTTGTACATCAGTTCGGTTGCTGTCCGATAGGGGGCCCAACTTGTCAACGTCTAGCTGCAGATGTCAGACCGATGCGTCCCGGGATGCGAACGAGCAACATAACTTCTACTCTTGTACATTTTCTGCTCCGATTGAAGTTAGAGAACGATCGAAATCACTCCAATTAACAATACACGCTGATTAAACTTAACACAATATCCAAAAACCTAACGCTTATTCATGTATCAAAAACTTGTTAAGGCTCCTGTATTCATTTATATTTATATAAAAAATTTCAAGAATAACAAAAATTAACTTTAGTTACCTTTACTAATAGGCTTATACACGAAAAATATTCAAAAATATCATAATTTCTCCATCTTCTAGTTCTGACTATCACTCTTCTGTATAGCCTTAACGGATAAAACTATATTTTACATTATAATATATAAGAATATAATGTAAAAATCTTGATAAAATTCTTAAATATTGTTTTAAAAAGTCATTTTGTAAAAATAAGTCAGCTTGACATTTGGAAAAAAATCATTAAAACAGATTTAAAGATAATGATAGGTAAATGTAAATCTAATAATTAATCCTTTGGGCGATTTTTAAATAGTTCCATTTAATTTTATCATTTGATTAAAAAAAAAATTGTAATTTTAAAGTTTATTTTGAATAAATCTTATAGAGTTATATAAAATAAAAAAAAAATAATTATAAGCTTTCAAGTTATATTGAATTATTTATAATATATAAATAATATATTTAAATTAATCATCCAGCTAATTTGAATCAATTAACTATAATTTAAGAATAGAATTAAATATATACATACATTTAAAATCAGTTGAAAATATATAAATCGATAAAATAATATATTTAAAAATCCAAAGATTCCAACTAATTCGAGCACGTATCGATCTTGACTTTTAAATGTTTAATTAAGAATTTATTTGTAAATAAAATAAACTAAGAACGAAGCGGTATGATATTCTGAAGCAGAGTTTTAATCACCTCCAGTGCAGTAAAAATCTCTTAATGCCCGATAAAGCTATTAATTTAAAATAAAAATCCCTACAATTCAAACTACGAGTTAATTACCCTAAAAAGTGACGTAATCACAACAGATGTAATTAACCACAAACCGGGATGCACATTTGTATTTTGATTCAACTCCACCCCAAGGGATTGACCGAAACATGTACAGCTTCTGATTGGCTGCACTTCTCCGCCTATTTGTCTGTTTCGATGGCTGGTGGATGGCCTGACACTTCGTTACGGCAACCTCCGTTACAGCAACATCTACTCTCGGAGCTGCAACTTTGAAACTTTCTCCTGACACGTGATAGACGATTTACCTTTAGGGATTCGAATGTAAATCCTCAAAAAATGCTTCTTCTTTGTGATTACAGCAGATTTTAAACCGTAATCTGCAACATGCAGTCGTCTCTGACGAAAGGTGTGGTGACCAAAGCCACCGATTTTTCTATAGCGGCGATTATGGCTAAAGAAAAACCGGCCGAGAAGGAACTTGATGAGGCCTCTCTCCCCACAGGTGAGTCTTTTTCTCATTCTTAAAATGAATTAAACCTTCATATTTAGACCTCATTTAGTTTAAATCGACAGCCTTAATGGGAATGGAACATTGTGCCATTCAATAATCATTCTGGAAAATTTTCATGTGTGCTTTCTACCGTACTTTGTCTAATCTAAATAAGATTTTACTCCGAATTTCTGTATTAATTATTTAAATCTACAATTGCAATAAAATATTAATAGGCCCCGTGCCGTGAGTCTTTCGTGAATTAAACTCAGAAAGTTTAATCTATTGTAAATCTAAAAATTCCGAGTAGTCTGAATTAGTATAAATTTACCAGATCGAGTTTTGCTTTATAATGAATCGTTTTGAAACTAATATTTAAATATTTTAATATGCTATTAACTAAAACTTTAAAAAAAAAAACTATTTTATTTAGATAAGAAGATCTTAAAAATGTATGAATTATTTTATCGAATCCTGAAATATCAGGCATACAATATTAAACAAAAATACAGGATCCACTATCTGATAAGAAACATTAATAACATCTAGTTATAAGAATAATTCATATCTAAACCTATATTTTTAGTTTATTTAAAACTTTAATCGATGTTAATTAAAATTTTAAAGGATAAAAATTTATTCTCAATTTATAAATGCTTTTAAATACATTCGCTTGAAGTAAATATTGAATTAAAATATTACAATCATTTACTTGTCATTTTAATTAAATCCGACAGGCAAATTAATAATTTGACCGATTTAGATCTAGTTAGGAAATCAAATAAGTTTATTATATCAAGAAATTAAGCAAGTTTCTTTTAACATATTAAACAGATTTCTATAATTTTCTGTTGAGTGAGTTTAATGAAGAGCCGAATTATTATTATTAATTTTTTTAAACAAATAATAATTTTCATTAAGATATTATAAGTACAGACTTTAAATAATATATTCTAAGTTATAATTTGCTTCAAAGTTATTAAATAATTACGTAAACTCCCAAATACTTCGTGATTTAATTAATATAGGGCTTTAAAATAGGCAGATTAAACACTATAAATTGATTAAGGCATTAATTTGTTTCTTCAAAGATAAGCGAGAAGTTATGAATGAAAATAATAGTAGAATTGCTTGTAATCTGTAGGCCTGTATATATAAAAGGTTTAGATTGAGATTGTTACAATGATATATAAGTAAGTATGCAAGATATTTGTAATATTGCATTTGTTTCTGGAAAGCAGTGCTAATATAAGCCTAAGAGTATGTGGGTGATGATAGGCAACATTGTTCTTAACAAACAAGCCGTGTCTGTGTTTGCAGATTGTCAACACCTATTAAAATTCGGTGACGTGCTGCGCAACTCTTTCATCACTTCACAGTGGGTCACTAATAAGTGACTTGCAAATAATTCATATTCACAGTTACATGTAAAATATCAAATTTGTGTATACGAGACCTAAAACTTATTTTTAAAACGACCGGCTTCTATAACCCATTTTAGTTTTAGTGCCTTGTTTTGCATTCAAAAACGTATTTATGACTTAAAATCTCATTTATAATTAGATCGAGTCAAGCCTAAAGGCTAAATTCTGATATTTGAAATCCATAACTGTTATTAAACTACACGCTTGGGAACTTAAAAACTCTGCTTAAACAGGCCTACATGTCCGTAATAAATAGAAAAATGTGTTACTTTTGTATAATTATTTATAATTTACGGCATAAATTTAAATTAAATTCTATAAACGAAAATTTGTTCTAAATTTAATATAATGTATGACTTGTATCTTACGGTTTATACTAAGATAAGAAGTGTAATTAATTATAAATTTATTAATGATGCTTATAATAATATAATTATAAGATTATTTTTTATAATAAGAAGATCAGTCTTGCATTTATTTAAAATTCATAAGCGTAAACATCATAAAATGCTTTCTAATGCTTTTATCAAAGATCTTATTGATTTTCTTAATTTATCTTAATATTATATTAATTAATAATGCTGTTATCATAGTCTAGTCAAATTTTTTAAATAAGCAATATAAAATTCAGAAATATTAGAATATCTTCTGCTATTTTCGGAAGCTTTACTATAAAAATTTTCAAATTTTTTTTAAGTTGAAAGCGAAATTATGAATTATTTCATATTTGAGGAGAATTTCTTGCACGAGTAATTTGATTTAATGTGGGACACATGCTTCAAATCTAATCCAGATTGCCAGCATTTACATTGGAAAGTTTAATAGTCAAAGTTTCTCCTTCAGTATTGCCATTAATTACTTAACTGGTAATTTTGGTTATAATATTAGGCCTATATTATATATATATTAGTTTTGCTTCTTCATTAATAAAATCATGATTATATTCAAATTTAGAAGCGTGCAATTAAGTAAGCAATTTCTCGTTGACAAGTGTAATTATTTACGGAATAAAAATAAGACCTATGTCAAATTTCAAAGAAGAAAAGAATAGAATTGTAAATAAATTAATTTTTTTTTAAAAAAAAGCATAACTTTAAAAGCATTGATTTTTAGTGGCTGCGAAGGAAAACACAGGAAAAAATCAGTAAAAATTAAAGTCTACGTTTTGAATCTTAAATCATAGGAACTTAGTCTATTATAATAAGGAAAACAGGCTAAGTTTACCAGATATGCTGAATTTAACCATTTTTAAAGGTAGGCTAGGTGGAGAAACCATTAAACAAATTGAAGAAGTGGCATAGAAGAGCGCTCGCCACAGACCCATCTGTCCTATTTGCAGCTACAAGAAGATTGAGTGAGACAGGTACTTCTCCCTTCTCTTGCACGGATCGCTACCTACACATTACCCTTTTCTACTCATGTTTTATCTGATTGGCAATGGTTCCTTAAATGTACTTGAATGTTTTTGGCAGTTCTTTAAGTCGCCCGAGTCTTTGTAATCTCAATTGCATCTTCACGCAGATAAAGTTCCATTTAAGCTATTAATACATAAAAAAAAAAATCGAATTTTAAACCATTATTGGTTAATTTTGAATTTTAAAACAATTTAAAATAATAATTTTTCCCCTTTAAAATCGTAATTATGCAAATAATTTACTTTATAAACTTATTTTCTTAAGAAGGAAATCGTCGCAAATCGAATTAAGTTCCTTAAAACATAATTAAAACGTTAAGAAAACAATTAAATTCCTAAATGTCGATTTATATATTATATAAAAGATAAAAAGCTCAGAAATTTCACAATTTACATGTAAATTCGCGATTAATTTCGTAACATCGAAGCCTTTAACAACTTATAAGGAAGATGTATTAATGAATTTTTAACGATTTCCTTATAAAATTATCTTATTTAGAATAATAACCTAGTTTATAATTAATTTAATAATTGATTAAATTTCACTGATATTTTGGACTAGTAATGCACCTTGACCAATATTAAGTACGCTGTTAAACTAAATGTAATTATATAGTAACCACGAAGAGCAGGCCTACACGCCTTAAAGATAAAATAGGATTTAAACTAAAGCTGACAATATATTGTCACCGAATATCGAAAATATTAAATGTCAACTACGTTGACAAAAACTCCAGTTAAATTAAGTTATAATTTATCAAGAAACACGGCTCTATATTTTAACCTTATTTTTTTTCTATATTAAGCTTTCATCTTATGCAATTTTAACAAAAAAACGAACTTATTTATTTTTTATTCGAATTATTTAGTTAAACTTTACAATAAGTGGAATTTATTTATTTATTTATTTTGAAAAAAAAGGATTTATAAATTTTAATGAATAAAAAAAATCTAATGTCATAGGAAGATAATTTGCGGAAAATTGCTAGCAATATTGTGTAATTTTGATCGAATTAACGAAAAATGATGGTAATTTTTTCCTGAAAACATTGATGAGATGAGAAATTGGGCAATGTTATGATTAGGCCATCATTATTATTTATTGGCCTGAAGTTTAACTAGATTTAGGTATCGGAATCATAACAAAAAATGTATTTTTAATCTTAATTTATGTTTTAAAACTAAATTAAAATGATTATTTATGAAATTCCATTAAAGTTCGAAGAGAATTTAATTGTTTTTATAAGTGTAAACAAAATTCGAACGGAGATTTCACTCTGAATTTAATTAAAATTAGCTTCTGCTCAACTTTTAAAATAAAATTAAAAAATTCTGTTTATAAAATCGAGAATATTATTTAAAAAAAAAAAATCAATTAATTTTAATTTTAAACACATGTATAATTTAATTAAAATTGCGAGAATACCGAAAGCATGTAGATATTTACCGCTTATAGATTAATTTTAATAAGCAATCACGCCTTCATATAAATCAATTTATTGAAATTTTAATAAAGTATTTTATTATTTACTATCTACACTTGTAAATAGATTTTATATGCGTCTGCCCGAGGGAATGTAATTTTGCATTCCATACAAATCAATGTTTTTATTTCGGATAGACGAATATTTTTATTGCTTTAACATTATATGAACTGCAGAAAGATATATAACAAAAATACTACTTTTTTTTAAAATATATTTTTAATTCTGCAGAAACATTTATAAGGGAGATAATTATAAAATTTTGAGCATTAAAGTAGATTAACTCCCCTTAATTTAAGCCTTTGTTTGTAAAACGGCAAAAAAATCTTGCTATTAAATCAATTCGTATTATATTTTCTATAGAAGAAATAGCTATAATATATATATTAAATGATAATAATGTAGTATGATATGTGACAAAACCGAACAAGTTCGAGATATATAAATGATCTCTGACAACAAAAGAAAGAGGACTTCTATCTGAAATTATAAGAGAATCAATCATTTCAAGAGGATGATATGAGCTCTGACCGAACAGATCCCATTCAAGATAAGTTCAATTGGTTCTCCAAATATTATTGTTTCTATTATATCGAATTTATTCGTAATTTTTGTTAACGTAAAATACAGTTTGAATATTGTTATGAAAAGTTTACATTTTTATTTATTTACTTATTTTATTTAACTTTAATCTACCAAAATATATTCCTGTAAATTCGGTAAAATTGAAAGGTTTGTGGTATAAAATTTAAATGCATTTCGAGACGAAGTTTAGCTTAATATCATCTTTAATTTTCTTAAAATTTCAACAATATTATATATAACTGTAGTAGCCTATGTTTAATTACTTTACTTAGTTGTAATCTTTTATTTGTTAGTATATTTTAAAGTTTAATTACGAGTTTCACATTTATCTAGTTCCAAGACTTCATTAGACATAGGCCTGCTTACACATAAATACATATTTTTATTTTAAAAATTTGTAAATTATTTATTAATTTATTTTATGTAATACGTCAATTAATTGTGGAAAATCTTGTTTGAATCTCTCTTTATTGTATCAAACAATTAGCCTAAACGTACGAAAGACTTTAAAAAAACAAGTATTAAGAATAGGTTTAATTAGTAGAACCCTGAATTATGATGTTAATTTTCCCACATATTTATTATAAAGTTTCTCATAAAACCTGCCAGATTTTCAATAATATATATCATAATTAAGTTTTATATTTGTGTTTTCTTTTAGGATTATCCGAAGTGGGTTTATGGCCGGTCGATTATCCAGAAAAGGAAGAAGCTAGTCCGATCTGTAGTCCCGCTACTTCTCCAACGATTTTTGAATCGGAACGTACTTGTGTAGAAGATAGCAGATCCGATAGCGAGGACAATGCTGAATCTGTGGGAAAGACAGTTATAAATCCTTATACCGATGCATTAAAACCTCGATGTAACAGCGATAGTTTAAAAAAATCAGAATGCCACTTAGAAAACAAGGAGCTATGGGAGAAATTCCACGAATTAGGAACTGAAATGATTATAACAAAATCTGGCAGGTTAGTTTTTCATATCTAAATAGGCCTACGTATCTTCATCTCTCTCATAAAAGAGAGCTAAAGATACTGTGCGCCCTTGTAAAAACTCTTCAAATTTTAAAGAAATTAATTTATTTTATTAATGTTATTTCTAACTCAAAATGTATGTCTGCACAAACATCATTAAACCTAAGTAAACATGAGTTCATTTATATTTTTAAATTTAAGTCGTAAATATGTTATAGTTTAGTTGTAAATTTACGACATCTTATATTTATTTATTTAATTCATTTTAATAAATTAATAGTATTATTTAAAGACTTAAAAGATACAGATTTTTATATATAGCTCGACGAATATAGTTTATAAATAGTGTATTCGATTTAAGAATGCCAAAATATTAAGAAGAATCTAAATATCAAGTAATTAATCTCTTCTCCTGACATTCATTCTGTCAAATGAACTCAGTAAAAAATGTATACAAATAAGACGTTGATAACGATGTAAAAAAAAAAAGTTACGGCACTTGCATGTCTTACTGCATAACCCGAGGCTCTGTAATTATAATAAAAGATATATTAAAGATAGAAGAGCTTATTTAACATCATAGAAATTCTCACACATCAGCTATAGTTATCATTTGTTGGTTTATGAATCCTTTCTATATTATTATATGTAAATAACCTGTATTCTCTTCCATTTGATTGTATATAAATCTTAAATAGTTTCTTACTAATAAGTTAAATGTCCTATTTTATAACTTAGATTCTAGATTTAACTATCAATTTTCATAATTTTACAATATCAATTAAATTTTTAGTGTTTCGCATTATTCAAATACCGAATGAGTTGAAAAGTGTTGCTTAAAACCTTCAAAAAACTTATATATTTGCATTTTCTTTAGAAATTCTCTGAATAAGCTGTACAGTACATTAATCAGTGTATAAGTACAGTACAATCAGTGTTGGATTAAGTCTCTAGCGGGCCCTAGACAAAATTTAAATTGGGCCCCATTTAAATAAGTTGCTTTTAAAGAAATATTAAATAATGTCATTTTAAACTTTTTTTTTGTTAATAATAGAGAATACAAACACTAATATAATATTAATTGTTTAATAAGAGTTTCTGGTATAACGAAAGACATATAAGAAGCCGGGTCCTTCGGAATTACGGGCCATAGACATTTATCTTATTAGTCTATTGGTTAATCTGAGTACAATATAATATGCAGTATATATTAAAAAGTGCAGTGTAGTATATTGTGTGGTTCGATTTTTAATTCTGTTATGTTAACGATTTTTCCTCTTGACATCAATATTTCCTTTTTTTAAAAAAAATTTTCAGATTTAAAAGCTGATATATAAAAGTTTATATTTCATTAAAGGATAAAGCTGGGCCTATAGAGTGAGCTTTCTAAAATTACTATTGAGCCAGGTGTATAAGATGATATTTTAGACAGGTGAAAAAGGAGCCATCAATGATTGACTAGTAGAGGCAGATGTTATTGGCTGTTTGTATGAGAATAGTTGTTCGACATATCTTATAGACTATCAGGCTTAAATTCTTAGTAAAAAGAAACTTTAATTTTGAACAAAAGATAAAGTCAAATAATTATTTTTAGTCAGAATTACAATTACTTTTATTGATAACTAGTGATTATGGACTGACATTTTCTGACAAAGAGAAAACTTAGATGTGTTTTATCGCATTTATAACTCGTTGTGTTAAATTCGGCATAATTGCTGGCCTATTTGTTATGCTGCCTGTAGCCAGCATAATTCATTGATTGGACACACCGAATAGAGTGAGTGGCAGCTTTACAACAATACCGTCCACTGTTTAAACGCTACCGTTAGTCCATTAGACAGTGATGTATAGAGAGAAGATCTCCGACATCTGCGACCATTGATGTCTCCTCCACGCACTGCTAGGCCTTATATCTTGTGTTTATAATCGATTTTCCAAGCCTAGAATTTGGAAGAGAAATCGTCAAATTAACCACGTTATCTTCTCTTCTATCGGCTTTCGAATTAGATATATTAGGATCCTGTCAGAAATATGCTCTTTGTATGCTCCGTTGTAACGATAAGTTCTATAGAAAGTCAAATTTACTTTCTTATCTCGAAGCCTATTGGTCCTTTTCAAATTAGTATTCAGTTACATGC